TKTWSTYMKTKKKTTKWTTWKYYTYYTTKTTRTTRTYGTCRTYATTAGTGTTTTTGATCATTTCAGAAACCTCCTAGATTTTACATAACAAATCTAATGCCAGGAAGAGAGTATAGGTTTTCTGTAAGTTGATTTTGGTTGTCATCGATTCTTCTATTGTTAAGCAATGTAAATAAGTTAAAGGACTGTATAGTTTTATCAAAATTATAAAATGCCACATATTTTTGATTATATTGTCGTTTTGTTACAGATAACACCATTCTTTCAAGACATAGATGATCTTGGAGTCAAAGCCCAGCTGAATTTCAACACAACTGGTAATGAAACGCCCTCACCTTCATGCGATGAAGTTGTATTGATGCTAATGATCATGATGTATTTTATGATGATGATGATGATGATGATGATAATAATAATCAGATGATGTCAATAATGGTGATTTTATTCATTTCCTATTCTCTCAGATGTTCCTGTGAACAAAACAACAATACAGACGATACAGCAAAATATGTCTAGTTACTCGTCATCTGATTGGTTCACTGTCAACATCACGTGGTCAAGACCATTGTTTAATTACAGTACCATCACAGGGTACAACGTTTCCTACTCGGCACAGGGTCAAGCATGGAAAGTAATTACAACGGTAACAAAACTCGAATATTTTCATCACAAAGGACAGATTGATCGTTTTCAATCATTCCCATGAAATTCAAAAGATAAAAGAACCGGGGGCCTTCTTGGATGAACAAACAATAGATACTAATGAGAAATTCAAGATGGCCGCTGTAACGTTTATTGAACGTGAAGAATAAGAACCTATATTGCTTTGCCACTTTTTCTCGCTTTTTTTTTTAATTCAGGATAAACAGTTCTTCGTTGTGCGCGGTCTAGACTTTAGTCAAAGTCTAGAATATCAGGTAACCATTGGTGATCTTGTGACATGCGTAAGAAAATGAAATGCGCGCGCATCTTTTTTTCTCGACAATAACGTCACTGACGTTCGCTCTCCTTTGCTCATCAATATAGCAAAATTCCTTACGTAAAAATCCGTATAATTTACGTAACGATACAATTCAATTGCAATGATTATGACGTATAAATGGCTTTGACGTATCGCCAACTAATTATGCGCGCGCATGTTAACTGTAATGCGCATGTCATTATCAATTATGACGTAACAATTACAAAGCGAATTACCATTGTTGCCGCATTGGCTGCATTGCCGAATTAGACAACATAGTTTTTGCCTACAACCATCGCATGAAACTTGCTTGTGTCATCCTTACAACATGGCTACAACTGTCGAAGGGCTATGACTCAATTAAAGCAATTGTTTTTTAAATCCCTACAACGGTTGCAGCAATTTCATTTTAGAGGATGTTGCAGCAATGTTGCAAGGATGACTTGTTCAGGTTGCATGTGATGGTTGTAAGCAAAACTTTTGCTGTCTAATTCGGACTTCAGTGTTTGATTTTGTGTAATGTTTTTTCAACGAAGCTCATTCCAATCTACCAACATCCCTGGATCGAAACTGTCRCTACTGCAAGATCTCTCCGAATTCCAGGTATAGATTGATAAACTWTATTTTAAGAAAAATTAATTTTTCACGGTTTTGTAAATTTCACAAAGTTCAATGGTAACGATTTAGATAACTTGAYGTTAATTTCTTGTTTKATCGACTTTTGTTGTCGTTTGTAGCTCATGAAGACTCGTTTTGAGTGAAAGCACTTGTTTATTCATCGCATCGTCCTGAAGTTTGATCAAAATAATTTCCACGAGTTCCTTTCATTTAATCAGAGTCTCGACTTTATCCTACTTGTACAGATCTTAATTCACTTTAATGGTTATGATCTTAATAATCATTTCTTTGTYAGATCCGCCTAGAAATGACTTAAAGGTCCAGAATATTCTAATGCCTTCGATGACTGAAAACAAAACGCGGAATATGTATGACATGACGTTCGTATGGTCCTCGCCGAAGATGGACAGAAACGTGTCGTTTTATGAAGTGACTTACACACTAACGGGCTACCAAGACAACGAATTAGATTGTCCTCTAAAGAACTCATCAAAACGAGGCTGTTTGGACTCCGCTGTGGTAAGAATTTATTTGCTGAGACATGAGAGTGAAGAGGATAAACACTTGAAGAAAAAAAAATTATATTTAGTTTTCATAGTTTTTATAAACATCCGCCATCTTAAATACCATGATGCATCGCGCGCGAAGAAATATGACGTCACCAGTGCAAAGGATTATTATGGACTACTTATGTCTTGCTCTTGTAGACTTCAACCAGCATTAATATCCAGAGTGTTTTACCAAGTGAGCAAGTGGAATTAACGGTGAAGCCCGTGTTTGCAAATACTGTGTTTTTTCGCGGCGAACCAATCAAAATACATCAACGAGCACCAGGTGAGATTATCACGTGATCACGTTATTTCCTGATGCGCATGTTTGCATAATATCCTCCTTCTAAACTTCATATTAAGTCGACGAATATTTTTTTGATACAGCTCCAAAGGACAGTCTGGTTGTTGTTCGTCATCTTGAGCATGAAAAACTGACACAAACATTTAACATCACTTGGGATAAGCCGCTGTTCCAACATAGTGCAGTCGATCATTACATCGTTGGGTACGCATTTTCTGAAATTGACGTCAAATCGTCAAGAGAAATAAGATCTTCTGAAAGTTTGCCTCAAAATATCAGCACTACAAATGAGGTAAGTATCTGTTAGTATAGTAATGGAATAATTGCTGCCGATGATGATAATTCTGATAATTTTGCTCTTTTCGTAGACAACTTACAATATCCAACGCAATAGATTCGAAAAAGGACAACAGATTGACGTTGAGGTATGATCTCTCGTGAGTTTGATTTTTACGATATTCAACTGATGTGTTTCAACTAGTTGTTTTCTCTCTCTAAGGTAACTCCAGTGTTCAAAGATAAACTAATTTCTGGGAAAACAGTGGGTTTGAAAATAACAGAGCCTCTAATTGCAGGTACGCTAATTTTAGTTTCAATTACATTTTATCGATAGAGACTCTTACATGAGGAGCATTGCTACGTAGAAAAGTAATTTCATATCCCAATTCCGCAACTTTACCTTCGCGCGCGTCGATCGTCACGTCATAGTAAGAACACTTACACAAGGATCGATCCAATAACTTAGTCTTCTCGAGTAAAGTTTTGCTTTGTTCATGATATTTTTTCGTGGAAAATGCTATCAATAGAGTAAGTTTATGCCTTTAAACCGGTGTAATAAAGATATTACTGAGAATTCTTGGTGTGGATTTGGTGATGCCGTTTTTTTGAGAATTCTTTCTGTATTTAAAATGAGGCGTTGTTTATATTTCAATAGAGCTTTATTCCCAGACCATTTGGACAACTTGGAAAATAGCTCTTTTATCTACTGGTTTGGTGTTGCTGGTATTACTAGTGCTGTTCTTTGCTATAATACTTGCTCGTCATCAAAAAGACCGGCCAAGGAAGCCAGGGTAAGTTGCAACGGGAAGTCATTTATATGATCCAAACGTCATCGCTTTTCTAATTTCTAATTTCTAATTTGAATAAATTCGGGCCATTTCGTCGCTTGAAATTTGTTCGTCCCTTTCTTTGCCTGTGAAATTAGATTTCTTCGTTTTCGTTCGTGTGATACTCGTAATTCGTTCGTGTGATACTCGTAATTCGCTCGTGTGATACGACTGCATCTTTGATCTTGTAAGATGATTGGATCGTGTATAGAGGCTGCTCTGGTTCGTGTGTGACGACTGTTTTCGTGTGAGGTGATTCGTTCGTCAGATATGAGCTCGATTAGTTGGCAATCTAGATTAACCGCTAGATTTTTTCTGGGACAGCCAATCTATCAATCAACTAATCAATCAGATTTGAGCCTGCAAGACATGCAGTCAGAGAGACCATCAATAAACTATCCCATCACATAGACAAGTATTTGACAGTCAACGACATTGTCTTTCGCAGTTCTGATTTCATGACTGTCGATCACTGGGAAGTTGCTCTCGATGATCTGCAACTTGAACAATGTCTTGGAGAAGGAGCCTTTGGTAGAGTATATAAAGCGATTCTACTAAACCTACCAAAGGAGGCATCAGCGGTCTCCAAGGGAAAATCAAGCTCGGTCAGCTCTTCAAGTCCGTGTAAAATTGAAGAAGGTCATCTTGTGGCAGTTAAGATGCTG